GTCCTCAGGCACCTCTCCTGTCCTCCAGGACCTTTGAAAGATGATGGAGAGTGGCTCAGCAATGACATCCACCAGCTCCCTCAGCACTCGTGGGTGCATTCCTTTGGGGCTCATGGATTTGTGGGCATCCAGATTGTTTAAATGATCCTTCACGCAGTCCTCCTCAACCAAGGGAGTCCTCCTCTCTGTAGGCTTCTCTTTGAGGCATTTAATCCTAGGTTTGAAGTCCTGGGGCTAGAAGAGGGCTCAACTCCTTCTCATGCACACCCCAACCCCACAGGAGGTGGGATTCCTGTTGCCTCAGTTCAGATGAGCACCAAATAGGCTCCTGCATGGGCGCTCCTTGTCTCAGCTCCGTTGCTAATTCATGGAGGTGGAGGGCAGGAGGAAGATGTTCAGACACAGACACCTGGTGCCATGTTTGGTTTCAGAGGTGATCAAGATGCGAGCTGGTAACTTGAAGCTGTAAGGGAGAACTTCATAGAGAAAGGGCAGCGCCTGAGGGTGCGTTCCTGGTGGCAAATGCCTTTGGCCAAATTAAATGACAGAAAGTGTCCACACTGAAGACAACTGAACCTTTAAATATTCCTCATGTCCAGGGCTGCCTATACATATAATCAGTGGACAAAATGGACTCATATTCCACAGGGAGAGCTAAGTATCTCTCTATTCTACATCCACTGTATTTTCTACGTGACCTTAACTGTATGATGGCATTTGTCTCTTGTGCGTGCCTTCATTGCCTAACATCATTCAGGGAAGCTGAATCTTAATTCAATTTAAATACACAAGCCTGTAGTGCTATGCAAAATGCCAGGGCTCTCCAGGACAACCCCATGCACCTGACATGGACAGCTCAGACTCGTTGTGTGACATCTCAGACAGATTTGGTGCCTTTGGGCCAGTGATGGAATCCCACCACTGCAGTGATGTAACGTGTGTCCCTTCTCTACCCACTGGACGCAGGGCAGTGCATGAACACCAAGAACATCACAGCAGGGTCTCCACTTGAGGGCATTCGCTCTCAAACTCTGCTGGTTCTTCTCACCCCCATCATTTAACTATCACCTTGATATCATGGATCACGGATCAGACCCATGATTTTCACAGTGTGCCTGGATCACACAATGTCCACACCACCCAAGGACATTCTCAACATCATCTCTTCCTTCCTGAGATCAGCTTCACCTCCACCCCAGGCCCTCAGGGCTGCAAAGACACAACAGACAGCAAACCCCTCTCCTGGTCTTGCCAAAAGCATGCTGGGGACCTCATTTCTGCTTTACATTGCCATCTGCCATCCCCTCCACCACGTCTCTGCTCTGAAGCAAAGCCTTTGCACACACAAGGCCTTGGGCACTTGGTAGCAGGTTTCTTTTTGCAAGTCAGCTCTCAGCCCAGATGTGCCACAGCTGAGGTGCTGCAGCCCAGACGTGCACCAATGGCCTCAGCCTGGGGCACAGAGAGAAGGATCTGGAGCCCTGCAGGCCACCTCTTCATTCCACTTTGAGGGAAAAGCACCTGAGGCATGTTGGAACAGCTCACATGGTTGAGGTGCTGTGATGGGTGGCTACAGGATGGGAAGGAGAGACAGGCTAGAGAGATCAGGAGGGAGGTGTTCTCAGTATGAAGGAGCTGCTCAGATGTGTGGAGCTCCTCCATGGGATGAACAAGTTGGGTGAGCCCTTATGGGTCAGGTTCAGAGGAGAGACTAATAAGGGTGACACTGTGGTGGGAGACAAGACTGGGCATGCCATTGGTCAAGAAAAAGAGCAGAACTATCAGCAGAAGCTGTGGGAAACAGGAAACTCATGGGGAAGCTGCAGGTGTGAAAGGAAGCGTTCAAGAAGTGGATGCAAGGATGTCAGACAAAGAGGGAATTCAGAAATGCAGTTGGTTTTAGAAAAGGCAAAGCTCTGGTAGATTCAACACTTGCAAGGGAATTCAAGGGCACCACAATCAGCTGTTCCTGCTTCAGGAAGACTTAAATCAGAGATACTACATCGCCACTGCAGAATTCTGTAAGAGCAGAGGTCGACAGGTCTGAGATTTTCTGTGTCCTCTTTGCCTCAGCTTTCACCAGCAAGGTCTCCTGGTTCCAGGTGCCTAAGAGGAAGAATCCTAGGGGAAATCCAGCAGTGGATGGAGAGCCAGGGATTTGCTGAGATAAGGTCAACCCTTAGTAGCCCATTGGACCAGAGGGGATGAATCCAAGGACGCTGAGAGACCAGGCCAATGTCATAGCAGGGCTACTCTGACACATTTTGAAAGTTCATCGCGACTGGAGAAAGCAGAAAACAACTCTTGCACACATCTTCTAAAAAGATGCAAGGACTGAGCAGGGGAGATACAGGCTGCAATGGCCAGGAGCTGTGTGGCAGGGCAGCAGCTCTGTGGAAATGGCTCTGGTGGTCCTTTCATTAGGCAGAACATGAGCCAACAGCATAGACAGCCAACAGCATCGCGGGCTGTACGAGCAGGAGCCCAGCCAAAGGAGCACCCTCTGCTCAGCGTGTTTCACACCACACCACGCACAACGACAGTGGGACGATGGCAAGGAGGAACTGATCCGCTGGAGAGCCAGGCAGGTAGCAATCCTCCAATTGTCATCGAAGCGTTTCTGTGATTTCCTGAAGAATATCAATATCTACCACAACAACACCAACAAAAGCATTAATTTTCCAAAATATAAATATTTTCAGGGGAGCAATCTGCATCTGCTGTAGCCCCTCTAGGCGATGCCAACGGAGTCAGTGTTTTCAAACTCTACAGAACGATAACCAATCCACAAGTTCATGTCTAAAGGGGTTCAGATCTAAGTGATCTTGCATAAGTCACCCTCTGTGTCCCAGGGTGGCATGGACACTGCTGGTTTCCCTCTGCAGAGATTGGCAGAGGCTGGATCCCCTCCTCAGGACAGATTCCTTGACAGGAACTGCAGACATGGAGGCAGCTCACCTGGTTCTTACCAGCACTTCACTCAGCGTCCGTTTTGATGTATTTGGTGCTTCTCTGTGACTGCTCTTTCTGCACAGATGATCATAAAAAGATAACCATTACATAAGAGATGGCCATAAAGGCCCTTGCTGTGGACAAGAAAGCTCACCACTAGCTCTGGAGGGAACAAGGAAGACTGCAATAATCTCCAGGAAAATTGAGGAAGCTCAAGGCCTCTTCTGAAGAGGGAGTGGCCCTGAACAGCACTGGTTGGCCATGTGTGGGTGTGGGAGAGAGCGTCGGGGATTATCAGTGAGAAACAAGGGCATGGCTGAGGGCCTTAGCAAACCCTTACCACCATGTCTGAGCCCAGCAATGGAAAGCGGTGGATGTCTGCAG